ACAGCATAGAGCTTCATGATTTTTGAGAGCAGAAAACAACAACTATTCAAGGCATTTGCTGAGTGTCTTAGTTGCTTTTCTTATTGCTGAGACAAAATACCTGACCCACAAAGTTAAAGGAGTAAGGCTTATTTAGCTCTCAGTTTCACAGTGTGTAAGAGGTTTCAGCCCACAGCTGGCTGGCTTCAAGGAAGGCTGGCTTGGCAGACAGGTATCCCAGAGGAGAAACAGTTTATGTGGCAGAAGACAGTAAGATAGATAGATAGATAGATAGATAGATAGACAGACAGACAGACAGATAGATAGATAGATAGATAGATAGATAGATAGATAGAGATACAGACACAGACACAGACACAGAGAGACAGACAGAGAGATGGACTGACAAACAAGCCTCTTTCCAGCCCTTATATTACATGAAGGCTACATGCTCTAGGGTTTGTGTAGCACTCACACTCCTAATGGTCCAATCACAAACCCTGGATTCAGCCACCTCCAAAAAGACCTGTCCTCATGTCTGCATGAGGCTTTGAGGGCATCTAGAAACAAACTGTAATAGTGAGGAAATGATGAATCTGAGGGTAATGAGGAGCTGGGATTTTGGCAGGTATAAAGCAAATGTTTATGAACTTAGCTTAATTTACAAGGAAGGATTTGTATCTGACTACTGCCAGGGACTTCCAGCTAAATTGTTTCTGCGTAATTATTCCATCACTTTAATTTGCTTACGCATACTTAGATCAATCATTCTTTAAACAAATTATTTTTTTTTAAATTTTTTTTATTTATTTGAGAGAGAGAGAGAGAGAGAGAGAGAGAGAGAGAGAGAGAGTGTGTGGTGTGTGTGTGTGGCCAGCTCAGCCCACCAGGGGGCGGGGCTGGCTGGCATGTGGTGCTGGGGGATTGAACCGCGGTCCCTGATGCTTTGCTAAGCTTGTTCTAAGTAGGTGCTTTAGACCACTGAGCCATCTCTCCAGCCCCTAAACAAATTATTTGATCCAAAAAAGAAACATAATGAAAGCAAATCAATGAATTCAGGCAACAATTGTCTGCATAGCCCTGATGATGATGGGCAGAGAAACAGCAATGAACAATGAGCTCTAAGAAAGCATTCATCCTTCTCTGTGGTCATATCCAGGTTTCCTGCAATAATACCCATTAAACTCGTATTTTTACTTCTATAATACTTGGTTCAAAGGAGATGTGTTGGTTTCTGGTCATGAATACATCAATTTGCCACTCTGCTTCATCTAGACCAGAGTATAAACTAACCTAGATTTTCCCCCAAAGTATGCACCTCAATCTGCATTATTGATTGTTAACCCACATGTTAAGCCAGTCAAGTCACGGTCCCATGCTGACTAAGGAGACTGATGTGCTACTGGCTTGACCAAGCCACACAAAACCTCTCCGCTTCCTGGGATCAGATG